GGGAGGGAATAAAAAGAGGGGAGGGGGGAATAAGAAGAGGGGAGGGAGGGGAATAAGAAGAGGGGAGGGGGGAATAAGAAGAGGGGAGGGAATAAGAAGAATGGGAGGGGGGGAATAAGAAGAAGGGGCAGCTCTATAGGACAGGGGCCAAGACAGGGAGCTCTTTCACACTATGCGCGCACACACACACAATGCATCCCTATACATACACAGAAACACAACATGCTTCCCTTACACACAGAGAAACACACAATGCAACCCTTACACACAAAGACAATGCATCCTTTGCACACATACACAGAAACAGACAATGCAAACCCGTACACACGCATGCAAACACACACACTTCTTCTCTTACATACACACAGAAACACAATGCATCTCATGCACACACATACAGACACACACCTTGCATCCCTTATGCATACAAACACAGATTCACACAATGCATCCCTTACACACACAACCAGAAACACATAATACATCCCTTATACACAAATACACACTGCTTCCACTACACACAAACACACTGCATCACTTGCACAAACTGGTAACCCTAAACACTACATACCATAAGCACACATATTAGATCCTCTACAATAACACATAACACATCCCCTACACACTCCACTCCCTGTGAGCAAACTCATGGGTGGGTGGAACTTATGAGTGGGCCTTATGGGCATACTCACCGCCAGACCTTGAGCTGTGTAAGGGGCCCCAAAAAATTGAGCTGCTTCCAATTCTCCCAGAACATTGAATTTTGTGACCACAGTTGCAAACAGCCTCCAGGGATCCTGTTCTACACCAGACCAGTGGAGCCAAACTGCAGCCCATCATCATCCTCATCTGCTTGTAAGTAGGCAATCTAGTATATTATTAGTGACACTAATCTATAATTTACCTCACATTAAAGGGACACTATAGCTTAATGAAGTGGTTCTGGTGTCTATAGCTGGTCCCTGCAGGCTTTTTAATGTAAACACACACTGTGTGCAGCACTGGCGTTAGTTCATATGGCAGATCATATGGGTGGGGCATTGTGATGTGACATGTGGGGGCAGCAAATTTTTATTTTGTCTAGGGCGGCAAAAATCCTTGCACCGGCTCTGATCCTGGGCAGGTGCACCAGTCTACTTGACTGGTTTTGCCCCCCAGGCCTAAGGCTGCCAGCCCTCCCCTGGCCGCTGGGGAGGTCTTTTGGCGGCCGCTGGCGGACTTGTCCTGGCGGCCGCTGAGGGAGCTGCGCGAGCTGCGCTGGCTCTGCTCCCCAGCACGCAGCTGAATGAGACCGGCGCCGGAATATGACGTCATATTCCGGCGCCAGTCTCATTCAGCAGCGCGCGAGGGCGGGAGGGCACTAACACAGGAAGCACCTCTAGTGACCGTCTGAGTGACTGTCACTAGCAGTGTCACTTTGAAGCAATGTAAACACTGCCTTTTGTCTGAAAAGTCAGTGTTTACGTTGAAAAGCCTGTAGGGACATGCTATAGACACCAGTACCACCACATTAAGCTGTGTGTGTGCGTCTGCTAGTGAGTGAGCTTGCTTGCATGCATGTGCCTGCTAGTGAGTGAGCTTGTGTTTTTATGTCAATGAGCTGATGTATGTCAGTAAGATTGTTTGTCTATGAGGCTGTGTATCAATGAGCTTGTGTGTGTCACTGAAATGTCAGTGAAATTGCCTGTGTCTGCATGTGCGTATGCTTACTGTATAATTAAACGTTTTACCCTGAAAGGACCAATATTTTATATTAGAAAAAGCAATATATATATATATATATATATATATATATTACTCAATCATCTGTCCTGGCAAGACATAGCCTTACATATTACACGCGACAATATATGGCGCAGTGACTTATGGGGCTGGCACAATTTTTTTTTCCAGGGCTGCTTTGTATCCCCAGTCCGGCCCTGCCCTGCTGCTACTAATCATCTCCTCCGTGCAGGGCACACTGAGGGACAGCTATAGGGCCTTCCCAAAGACCCCGCTAGGCTGCCCCTCAGTGTGCCTGTCATCAAACACAGCCTCACTGAGCTGCCTGTAACACTACTCAGGGCAGCTCCATGCGGCTGGTTCTGTAGGAAGTGACATCACCAGTCAGAGTGCAGAGTGAGCTGTGCGGAGCTGCCCTGATCAGAGTTACAGGCAGCATGTCAAGATCCTGTGCCTGAAGTGGTGAGGGACTTTCCAGGAGAGGATGTCTTGTAAGGGGGGCTTTAAGTTTTTTAAATCATTCACTTTTTTTTATTTACAAATATTTTAATGATATAATTTCCACCACTACTGCCCCTACCCACTGCACCCTCTGCCACCACAACCCCCATGCCCCCTCTGAAGCCCCAACCCCCCCTGCTCCCTCTGCAGCCCCTACCCCCTCTGTAACTCCTTCCTTTACACTTACAACTCCTATCATGCCAAGGCACTTTACACTTACAACTCCTATCATTCCTACCCCTTACTCTCTCAGCAGCCCCTACCCCCTCTGTAATTCCTTCCTTTACACTTACAACTCCTATCATGCCAAGGCACTTTACACTTACAACTCCTATCATCCCTACCCCCTTACTCTCTCTGCAGCCCCTACCCCTTCTGTAACTCCTTCCTTTACACTTACAACTCCTATCATGCCAAGGCACTTTACACGTACAACTCCTATCATCCCTATCCCCTTACTCTCTCTGCAGCCCCTACTCCCCTGTCCTCTCTGCAGCCCCTACCCTACCCTGCAGGGTTTTTGCTGTAAAGGCTGCCTTTTCAGAGAAAAAGCAGTGTTACATTGCTGCCTAGGAACATCTAGGTGCTTCCTGTGTCAGTGTTCTAAAATGTGCAGCACTGACATTCCGCATCTCCATGCTCCGGCCCCCCAGATGTTGCTGAACTACAACTCCCATGATTCTCTGGCTATCTATGTAATGCAAAGAATCATGGGAGTTGTAGTTCAGCAACATCTGGGGGGGCTGGGGTTTGAGGACCCCTGGCATAGTGTTTTGCTGCACATGCACAATAGCCTTCCAGTGCTTTTCTATGGTAGAGCATTGGGCTGGCTGAGATCATCTAAAATTGTTGAACTCTGCCAAGGACTTTGGTCGGTGATGGAAAAAAGGTGAATAAATCCAGTTTTTAAGGGGAGCCAGAAACCTATAGCGTCAGTAATACACTTTTGTATTCCTGACACTATAATGTTCCGTTAAAGGGACACTATAGTCACTCAGACCACTTCAGCTCAATGAAGTGGTCTGGGTACCAGGTCCCCCAGGTTTTAACCCTCCAGGTGTAAACATGCTATGTTTACATTGCAGGGTTAATCCAGCCTCTAGTGGCTGTCTTCCTGACAGCCACTAGAGGCGTTTCTGTGACGCTGGATGCGAAAATCGTATTCAGCGTGCAGAACGTCCATAGGAAAGCATTGAGAAATTATTTTCTATGGACTGTTTGAATGCACACATGGCTCTTGCCGCGCATGTGCATTCCGCTCCACTTGGGAGCTGACGTCGACGGGGGAGGGGAGGTCACCAGCACCGAGGGAGCCCAGCGCTGGATAAAGGTAAGTGGCTGAAGGAGATTTAACCCCTTTAGCCCAGCGGGAAACCTTGAGGGTGGGGAGGGACCTAAGGGTGTTAGGAAAACAAGTTTGTTTTCCTGACATTATAGTGATCCTTTAAGGTGGCTTGTAACATTTAACACTTGATGATTTGTAATTTAAGACGCAAAATTTGGACCTCACACAAACACATTGCCAAAATTCAGAAATACCCCTTTATACAAACTGCCATGCTACACAAACACACATAAAAAAAAAATACTACCATATTTATAAAACCAAAAACATGTATTCAATGCTTGGGGCCCAGGTACTAATTTTCCCGGGGGCCCACACCACTGTCAGTCCGTCCCTGATGAGGACACAGCCTTAGTATGTGTACCCACTATATGCTGTATGTATGAGTTACAATGAGGACTCTGCCTCAGTATATGTATCCACTAGATGCTCTGTGTAATGAGTTACTATGAGGACACAGCCTCAGTATATGTATCCACTATATTGTCTATGTATGAGGTGATCTGGAGACCCTGCCTCAGTGTGTGTTCTTTACAGGGAGTGCAGAATTATTAGGCAAATGAGTATTTTGACCACATCATCCTCTTTATGCATGTTGTCTTACTCCAAGCTGTATAGGCTCGAAAGCCTACTACCAATTAAGCATATTAGGTGATGTGCATCTCTGTAATGAGAAGGGGTGTGGTCTAATGACATCAACACCCTATATCAGGTGTGCATAATTATTAGGCAACTTCCTTTCCTTTGGCAAAATGGGTCAAAAGAAGGACTTGACAGGCTCAGAAAAGTCAAAAATAGTGAGATATCTTGCAGAGGGATGCAGCACACTTAAAATTGCAAAGCTTCTGAAGCGTGATCATCGAACAATCAAGCGTTTCATTCAAAATAGTCAACAGGGTCGCAAGAAGCGTGTGGAAAAACCAAGGCGCAAAATAACTGCCCATGAACTGAGAAAAGTCAAGCGTGCAGCTGCCACGATGCCACTTGCCACCAGTTTGGCCATATTTCAGAGCTGCAACATCACTGGAGTGCCCAAAAGCACAAGGTGTGCAATACTCAGAGACATGGCCAAGGTAAGAAAGGCTGAAAGACGACCACCACTGAACAAGACACACAAGCTGAAACGTCAAGACTGGGCCAAGAAATATCTCAAGACTGATTTTTCTAAGGTTTTATGGACTGATGAAATGAGAGTGAGTCTTGATGGGCCAGATGGATGGGCCCGTGGCTGGATTGGTAAAGGGCAGAGAGCTCCAGTCCGACTCAGACGCCAGCAAGGTGGAGGTGGAGTACTGGTTTGGGCTGGTATCATCAAAGATGAGCTTGTGGGGCCTTTTCGGGTTGAGGATGGAGTCAAGCTCAACTCCCAGTCCTACTGCCAGTTCCTGGAAGACACCTTCTTCAAGCAGTGGTACAGGAAGAAGTCTGCATCCTTCAAGAAAAACATGATTTTCATGCAGGACAATGCTCCATCACACGCGTCCAAGTACTCCACAGCGTGGCTGGCAAGAAAGGGTATAAAAGAAGAAAATCTAATGACATGGCCTCCTTGTTCACCTGATCTGAACCCCATTGAGAACCTGTGGTCCATCATCAAATGTGAGATTTACAAGGAGGGAAAACAGTACACCTCTCTGAACAGTGTCTGGGAGGCTGTGGTTGCTGCTGCACGCAATGTTGATGGTGAACAGATCAAAACACTGACAGAATCCATGGATGGCAGGCTTTTGAGTGTCCTTGCAAAGAAAGGTGGCTATATTGGTCACTGATTTGTTTTTGTTTTGTTTTTGAATGTCAGAAATGTATATTTGTGAATGTTGAGATGTTATATTGGTTTCACTGGTAATAATAAATAATTGAAATGGGTATATATTTGTTTTTTGTTAAGTTGCCTAATAATTATGCACAGTAATAGTCACCTGCAGACACAGATATCCCCCTAACATAGCTAAAACTAAAAACAAACTAAAAACTACTTCCAAAAATATTCAGCTTTGATATTAATGAGTTTTTTGGGTTCATTGAGAACATGGTTGTTGTTCAATAATAAAATTAATCCTCAAAAATACAACTTGCCTAATAATTCTGCACTCCCTGTATATGCTCATAGTCGCTGTGAAAACACAGCCTCGGTATATGCTCTCTACATGCTCTATAGGTAAGATGGTGTGGAGCAATTGCTTCAGTGTATCTGTTCTCTATATGATTGATGTATTAGTGGAAGCACAATATATGTGAATGATATAAGTACATCCGCTATATGAGTCCAAACTAATACTGGTTCTATGTGTGGGTTGTGAGTCACAACCTCAGTATATGTGAGTGGTATATTATGTGCATAGTTCTGTTAAAACACAGCCTCAATTTATCTTACTCATATAATCTTAATATGTGTGCAGGCATAGTGTCACTGTATATAGCAGATGTAGGATATGTATGATTACTGTTTAAACAGACTCAGTATATGTGACTGATATATCTGTGTATAAGGTGCTGTTAGAAACATCCACAATGTATGTGATTCATTTAATCTGTATGCAGATTGGTAGTATTATATAACCCTAATTTATACATGGCATTGGTAGATTTAATATATACAAATGATCTAAGGTCTGTTTTGCACTGAAATGTAGCACTGCCCAATTCTAGCAAATACAAATGCACTGTTGTACTGGGTAAGTAATTATTGCCTACTGTTGATTTTCTATTTCAGTTTTTTAACCCCTTAAGGACCGGACTGTTTTTGTGATGTTGTACATCTGCGACCAGGCATCTTTTTACACTTTTGTGGTGTTTATATTTAGCTGTAATTTTCCGCTCTCTAATTTACTGTTCCCATACAAATTATATATTGTTCTTTTCAGGACAAAAGGGGCTTTCTTTACATACCATTATTTATATAATCTCATGTAATTACATTTTTTAAAAATGAAAAAATAAGATGAAAAATTAAAAAAAATACATTTTTTTTTACTTTTACGTGAAAAATCTTTTACTCATCTACAAAAGCGAATAAATAAAACTGCTAAATAGATTCAAAATTTTGTCCTAATAAAAATACCCAGTGTTTACATGCTTTTTTGCTATTTTTTTGCATGTTATAGGGCTATAAGTACAAGTAGGATATTGCGGTTTCAAAACATACATTTTTAAAATGTATCAATAGTGACATTGTAACACTATTATCTGTCATAAATCTCTGAATAACACCCCACATGTACATATTTTTTTTTAAAGTAGACAACCCAGGGTATTCAATATGGGGTATGTCCAGCCACTTAGTTGCAAACGTCAAAGTTAGCCTTCATATTTGTTTGTGTGTGAAAAAAGTAAAAAACTAAATTGAACGCTAATTTTGGCCAATGTTTGTGACTAAGTGGTTACTAAAAAAGACTGGAAGTACCCCATTTTCAATACTTTGGGTTGTCTTCTTTTGCAAATGGTATGCCATCATGGGGATAATTCTCATTCCTGGGCTACCATACACTCTCAAAGGCAACGTAACCAACATGGCCATTTTCAATGTAAAAATATTTGACCCATATATTTGACCCTGTAACTTTCATAAATGCTATAAAACCTGTACATGTGGGGTACTGTTATACTCAGGAGACTTTGCTGAACACAAATATTAGTGTTTCAAAACTGGAAAACGTATCACAACAATTATATCATCAGTAAAAGTGCTGTTTCTGTGTGAAAAATGCAAAAAAAAAGTAACTTTCACTGACAAAATCATCACTGTGATATTTTTTACTGTTTTGAATCACTAATATTTGTGTTCAGTGAAGTCACCCGAGTAAAACAGTACCCCCCATGTACAGGTTTTAGGTTGTCGTAGAACGTTACAGAGTAAAATACAGTGCTAGCAAATTAAATTCTCTGGACTTTCCACCTGGGTTAGCAGGCAGATCCCTCAAATTGCAATCAATAAAATTAATTATGTAAAAATATTACATAAATACACACGTAGAATTTAAATATATATGCATATTTATATATTTGAAGTCTACGTGTATATTTATATAATTATTTATGTAATTTTGTATATGGACATATGTATATTTCGGATTATTTTTATTTATTTATATATACATAGATATAAATATATATATATATATATATATATATAATTTCATTCTAAATGTATTTTGATATAAATATATATATTAAAATATCAAAACACAGTTAGAATAAAATGTCATATAGATATATAATTTTTTTTTTTTAAATGTTTATTATTATGTTTACATTTTTTAATTTAAATTACTTATTTGTATTTTATAATAATATATAAATACAATATATATAGTTATTATATATATTATATATATACGTGTGTAATTTAATTATAAGTGTATTTTTATATTAATATATGTACATATTAATATAAAAATACACATAGTATGACATTATATATGATATATATATATATATATATATATATATATATATATATATATATATACAGGGAGTGCAGAATTATTAGGCAAATGAGTATTTTGACCACATCATCCTCTTTATGCATGTTGTCTTACTCCAAGCTGTATAGGCTCGAAAGCCTACTACCAATTAAGCATATTAGGTGATGTGCATCTCTGTAATGAGAAGGGGTGTGGTCTAATGACATCAACACCCTATATCAGGTGTGCATAATTATTAGGCAACTTCCTTTCCTTTGGCAAAATGGGTCAAAAGAAGGACTTGACAGGCTCAGAAAAGTCAAAAATAGTGAGATATCTTGCAGAGGGATGCAGCACTCTTAAAATTGCAAAGCTTCTGAAGCGTGATCATCGAACAATCAAGCGTTTCATTCAAAATAGTCAACAGGGTCGCAAGAAGCGTGTGGAAAAACCAAGGCGCAAAATAACTGCCCATGAACTGAGAAAAGTCAAGCGTGCAGCTGCCACGATGCCACTTGCCACCAGTTTGGCCATATTTCAGAGCTGCAACATCACTGGAGTGCCCAAAAGCACAAGGTGTGCAATACTCAGAGACATGGCCAAGGTAAGAAAGGCTGAAAGACGACCACCACTGAACAAGACACACAAGCTGAAACGTCAAGACTGGGCCAGGAAATATCTCAAGACTGATTTTTCTAAGGTTTTATGGACTGATGAAATGAGAGTGAGTCTTGATGGGCCAGATGGATGGGCCCGTGGCTGGATTGGTAAAGGGCAGAGAGCTCCAGTCCGACTCAGACGCCAGCAAGGTGGAGGTGGAGTACTGGTTTGGGCTGGTATCATCAAAGATGAGCTTGTGGGGCCTTTTCGGGTTGAGGATGGAGTCAAGCTCAACTCCCAGTCCTACTGCCAGTTCCTGGAAGACACCTTCTTCAAGCAGTGGTACAGGAAGAAGTCTGCATCCTTCAAGAAAAACATGATTTTCATGCAGGACAATGCTCCATCACACGCGTCCAAGTACTCAACAGCGTGGCTGGCAAGAAAGGGTATAAAAGAAGAAAATCTAATGACATGGCCTCCTTGTTCACCTGATCTGAACCCCATTGAGAACCTGTGGTCCATCATCAAATGTGAGATTTACAAGGAGGGAAAACAGTACACCTCTCTGAACAGTGTCTGGGAGGCTGTGGTTGCTGCTGCACGCAATGTTGATGGTGAACAGATCAAAACACTGACAGAATCCATGGATGGCAGGCTTTTGAGTGTCCTTGCAAAGAAAGGTGGCTATATTGGTCACTGATTTGTTTTTGTTTTGTTTTTGAATGTCAGAAATGTATATTTGTGAATGTTGAGATGTTATATTGGTTTCACTGGTAATAATAAATAATTGAAATGGGTATATATTTGTTTTTTGTTAAGTTGCCTAATAATTATGCACAGTAATAGTCACCTGCACACACAGATATCCCCCTAACATAGCTAAAACTAAAAACAAACTAAAAACTACTTCCAAAAATATTCAGCTTTGATATTAATGAGTTTTTTGGGTTCATTGAGAACATGGTTGTTGTTCAATAATAAAATTAATCCTCAAAAATACAACTTGCCTAATAATTCTGCACTCCCTGTATATACACATAACCCACTAGCTCTGTGCTAGGGAGCCCCTTTTCAGGAGAGGTACCATAGGGATTGTAATAGGACATACAGGATTAAAGGACTATTGCTTAAATGAAAATTACACTGCTTGCTGGAACAACTCCCATCCTGCTCAGGCTGCACTACCCAGTTGGTTATCTCTCACAGAGTTCATCAGTGATCAACCCACATTAGTGGAAGCCTTGCAGGACTATTATCATTTCAGGGGTGACCCCCCTCACAAAAAAAGTCTGACACCAGTCCTAGTGACGTATTTACCTAGGGGTGAACCTATGCACGCTTTTATTGTATGCGGCACCTCCATGGTACAACTGGGGTGATCCACGCAAATCCTTACCTGTTGGTAAGGGACCTCACAGTGTTGCTAAACGTCCACTAAATTTCGTATACAAGGGTGACCCCCTTTAAAAAGCGTACTGAGGTCATTGATCCCTCCCATTACCTGGCTTGCGTCCCGACCATTAACGGGCTTCGTCCCAACCATTACCGGGCTTCATCCCGACCATTACCGGGCTTCGTCCCGGTCGATACGAGGGTGACCCCCTCGCCAGACCACTATTCAGACTCCTAGTGGTACTGATTATATGATACCTGTGTGACCCCCAGTTGTACGTGGAAGCCACTGTGTAGCTACATACACACTGACGTATACTCTGTCTCCACACAGACGGGAAAAATTATCTGCTATTATGTCAGACGCTCCTCCATCACCATCTATGGATTTCCAAGCTATGATCAATGCCGCGGTGTCGGCTTCTGTTGAAAAGACTTTGGCCAAAATTATGACACAAACACCACCGGATGTGGCGGGCGCCACTACTCCGACTCGACCAGATGCTAAGGACCCTGCCGATCTCAGGGCGGAGGCTGGGCCGTCTAAGCGGCATCGGAAGGGATCCAACATGGCCCTTCCAAGGTGCGAGGGAAAGATCCTATGGAAGCAAAGCTGCCAATCAGGGCGCCTGGATCGCTCCCCTCCACAACCTCCTTCATGAGGGATGAGGAACCATTATCCCCGCCTTCACTGGAAGTTATGGACGAATGGAGGGCAGAGGATTCTCCCTCGGAGGAGGAGGAATGGCAAGACTTACTTCAGGAAGTCTGAGACTTCAGCCAAGGACCCGAATGGGCAAGCCGCTCAGGCAGAAAGGGCCCGCGTAAATTGACTGCGGACGTGTATGAAGACGGGGTGTTCCTGGATGAGACGGGCAACCCCATGTTCGATCTGCTTCAGATACGACACCCAAGATCATCAGAATGGAACCTGCCAGACCATCTGACTCAATTTATACATTTTTGGCTGAGGAAGCCGATGGACAAGGAGGTTCGGGCCAAGCTCAAAGCAGAGTGCCCACATCCCGTGCTTCCTGACAAGATTGCCTTCACCCCAGAATTTGAAACCACAGTGGGGGTGTTTATGTCCCGCTCTGGCAGAGACCCACGGAAGGGCGTAGAGAAGGGCATGAAATCGGTCCAGGACAAAATGTTGGACATGATAGGCCCACTGGCGAAGATTCTATACTTCGCAGATTTGGCACTTGCTCAGGGGACGACCCTCGAGGCACACGACATTAGAGAATGGGCGAACTGCCTTTTAGGTAACTCTAACGCTGCCATGTGCGCAGAATGACGTAAAGCGGCCCTATTGAAGATAGACTCCAAACTGTTAGACTTGGGAAAGAAGGAGCTAGGTCCTCCGGCGGACGGGCTGCTATTCGGTGAACCGTTTTCACTACACTGAACAAGGCCCAATCCATTAGACAAGTCTTCCTGAACCCACAAACAACTCAAGGTGTTTTTGGCAGGGCTGGTCGGCCCCAGACGTCCATATGCTCCACAGCAGTTCTTCCCATCCGCAAGAGCCTCCTTCACAAGGGGATCCTTCCGTACAAGGGGCACTCAAGGCAGAGGACGAGGACGATTCAACTCAGGTCTTCTGTTATGTCACTCAAGTATAACTGCTGGCAGACTGTCCCTTTTTCCACAGGAGTGGGAATGCATCTCCACAGATGCATGGATCCTCCAGACTGTGCGAGGGTATGTGATAGAGTTTGCCCGTACGCCAATTCAGACCACGCGACCACCATCTCTCCGGGTGGCAAAGAGCCATTCCATTCCTCATAGACAAGGAGATATGAGCTCTGTTCGCAAAGGGAGTGGTGGAATTCGCCCCAGACGATTAAGGTTTCTTCAGCAACATGTTCATCGTCAGAAAAAAGACGGGAGACTACCGTCCGGTCATCAATTTACGAGAACTCAATGGATTTGTGGCTTATCGCCATTTCAAAATGGAATGTATTCACCTTCTGAGAGACTTAAAGAACGAACGCGACTGGTTCACACGTCTAGACTTAAAAGACGCATACCTGTCGGTCCCCATGGCACAAGAAAGTCACTCCTTCCTTCGTTTCACCTGCAAGGATCGCTCCTGCCAATTCACATGTCTGCCATTCGGCCTCAGCTCGGCCCCATAGTGTTTTACGAAACTCCTCAAACCAGTCAGAGAGAAAGTGAAATACGCTGTCTCGTGTATCTCCACGAGACAGCGTGTATCTCCACGAGACTCCAAATCCAGAATTCGATCTCAGATGAGATTTAACATTCACTTTCTGGAATCATTGGGGTTTGTAGTGAACAGAGAAAAATCATCGTTGACTCCATCCCGAATAGTTAAATTCCTCGGGTTCGAGATAGACTCCAACTCTTGCGTACTACGTCTCCCCGCATCGAAGATAGCGGCTATTCGGAAGGAAATTCAACGGATACTCAGGAGAGACACCATACCTCTCCGACTACTAGTGAGGATAGTAGGTCTACCCTCCTCATCAATACAGGCGATTTTTCCAGGCCCGCTCCACTACCGGGCCATGCAGAGATTGAAAGCTCAATACCTACGAGCCAGACACACGTACGACCACTGGATTCCTGTCTCCGCAGAAGCACGGACGGAACTTCGATGGTGGCTACTTCACATGGAAGCCTGGAACAGCAAGGCCATTTTCGGGATGAACCCGGACTTTGTATTGGAGTCGGACGCGAGCCTTTGGGGCTGGGGAGCTCACTGCACCCACACATCCATGGGAGGTCCATGTTCAGAAGAGGAACAGGGTCTCCACATTAACTGTCTGGAACTGATTGGGGGATCATTTGCAATTTGCAGTCTAGCCAATGACATGTCGAACTGCTGCATCCTTCTGTGCATGGACAATATTTCCGCGGTCCAATACATAAATCGCTTGGGTGGAGCCCGATCAAGAGCCTTGACAGAGGCGACGAGGGACATCTATCAATTCTATATTCCCCGCAACATTACGATCAAAGCGGAATATTTACCGGGAATCAACAACCTCACGGTGGATTGGTTTTCTCGACACTGGCGAGACAGAAGTGACTGGCAACTGGACACATCAGTATTCTCAGTGGTGAAGGACCTCAGGGGCCCATTGGTCGTAGACCTGTTTGCGTCTCGGACGAACATGCAGTTACCAAGATATTACAGCTGGCTTCCAGACCCTCAGTGCGATGCGATAGATGCCTTTCTACAACTGTTGCCTCTGAAGGGAGCGTACGCATTCCCACCATTCTCGATGATAGCAAGAGTAATCCATCGCATCAGAACGACCAAGATTTCAATGATTCTTGTCACACCGTTGTGGAAAAGTCAGGCGTGGTTTCCGGATTTATTGGCTCTAACACAAGACCATCCTCTACTTCTTCCATCGTTCCCCTTCCTACTGACAGACCCGAAAGGGGAACCACATCCACTAGTGATACAGGAGAATCTGGATGTAACGGATCACCTGGCACCCCGACTGGGTACCTCCGTTAAAGGATGCTCCTAGCGCTTCCCGAGGACTCCAAGCACTGCAGCAGACACCACAATCACCGAACCGGAGAAGCATATGAATCCTCTCAAGCATATGAATGCTGTAGACAGTTGAATAGGAACCATACGAATAGGTTTACTCTCCTAGCAGTCAAACTGGAACAGCATACAATAAATCCTTCCCCCAATAATGAGACGACACTTCACTTTGAGGGTTAAGCAGGAACTCCCTGTACTGTCACATACAGTCTCTTTTATTGCCAATCCACAAACATAGTACAGCCCACAGGGCGTTACAAAACAGCCAATCAATCCATACAATACACCCAGACACTCCCACACAAAATCCTCCCCTCTGGCTGTGATATGATTACTGAACACAATGGGTAATCTAATTATTACAGCCAGAGAAATACAGTTTCATAAAACACATCACAGGGACCCCAAAACATGCAATAACCCCATAAAAAGTATATCCTTGGAACTGGGGGATCTGGGTGAACCACATATCCAAAATTCACCCAGATCCGTTCAGTACTTTGGAAAATACAGTTTAATGCAGATTCTGCAGAACATATACAGGCTAAATAAAAAACAATCACTGTATAATGTGTCCCCTGCTGTATAGTCCAAAACCACCGCACGATGTCTCTGTGCAACAAATACTGGCGAGATGGCACCGTGTTGAAAAGTCACACAGTGTCTGTGAGTTAAAATGGCCGCCATCCATTGTTCTCACCATGTGCTTCTGATACAGGAAATGGTGGCCACCCAGTAACTCCACAGTATGTCCCCAGATGGTTCTTAAAAGGGCTAGCAGCAGCACAACACAAATCCATTATGCCCAAATCATGTCTTTAAAGGGCAATACATCCCAGGGGCCATAGTCACATGGCAGGAGGCTGGCAATCAGTCTTCTCCAATGCCCAGTGGCGAGGTCGGTTTCGCCACACTGGAACTTGTGGTCTGGAATCTTTCAGGGGAGCCTGGTCCGTCGAGGGACTATCGCAACTGGCTAAAGACCTTTTATGGGATTCATGGGCACCGGGTACCCGATGGAGTTACTTATCAGCATGGAATTCATGGAACCGCTGGTGTGTGGGAAGGAATTGTGATCCCTTTACAGCACCTATCACCACGGTGGTAAATTATTTGTCCCACCTTTTCACGGAAGGAAGATCCTATCATTCCATCACGTGTGTCACGCTCTGCGATTTCGGTGGCACGCGTTCCAGTACAAGGCTCTCCGGTCGGTCAGGACCCTTTGGTATGTCGTCTGCTGCGAGGTATCAAATTGTCCAGACCACCGGAACCTAAGTATAATCGTTTGTGGGATGTAGTTTGTGGGACGCACGCATCTTTCTTGTTATTACCTCAGCTTTAAAAATGCAAAATAGAAAGCCTCCTGTCATGTGATAAAATTGTAGATTATGCTAATGTAGTGTACCTATGATCTTAATTTTAATAATGACAGGAGGCGAGTATTTTCCCTCCCGTTTCTATGGGTTGCCATATTTCACCGTTTCTTTTGCTCCATTATAATTTGTATAGTTTTTCTACATTATATATGAATATGATGTTTTACGGTAATAAACGAGTACTTAGTGATATTATTGTTTAATGCTAGTATATAAACGATAGGTTATTATTTGTATAGAATATGGATATATATATTATCACTGATATCATGTAGACATAAGTCTATTTCCATCCTCTTACACTTGTTTCTGTTTTTTCAATGTGATTGCCGATATTGGCTCCGGATTGGACACACTGGATATTGGATCTTACGGATCAAGTTTAATTTCCGATCTTCGTTATTCGTTTTGAAGTTGGACTAATTGAAGTTGGGATTGTTATATTATTACGAACTCTGGTTTTTATTCCCTGACATTATGTAGACTAATTTCGCACCAAAGAAAGAGGAAGTCATGTGACGGTCAGGGCTTTATATATGGATATGATGCATGTTATGATTGGTTAAAAGTTTAATGATTGACTTGTGCTGCTGGAGGCATATGTAAAGAAAATTATGCAAAATACTCGCCTCCTGTCATTATTAAAATTAAGATTATAGGTACACTATGTTACCCAGACTGGGCTCCCAATTCCCTGCAGGACCGGTGAAGAGACCTCTGTCCCATCTCCACCGGCCACCTGGGGTCCTTTCCAGTAAATCTCCACAATATCTTCCCAGCTAAATGGGTCTGGATCTGTCACCTTGCTGAGCCTTCCCAATGGAGTGGAAGAGATCTCAGTAGTCCTGCTCCAGTTCCCACACCAGGGTTGCTAGGTGAGCCAGGTCTTGCTCTACCTCATGGGGGTCATCCCAGTCATGCCTAGCCTCCCTCTCATAGAAAATTTCCTGAAGTCTGGTCTGCGCAGGGCTCCCATAACAAGCCAGGACCATCAAACTCCTCTCCGTCTGGCTTGTCATGCTCGGCCGTCCAGGGTATAAAGTACATGTAGTGGAGTGCTGATTAAAAATAAAGATAAATGAAAATAGGGTACAAAATAGGAAACCTAACTACCTATCAAATACAAAACAAACTGATTAATAAACCCTTATTTTCTAATAGGTCATAAGTCTATGAACATACTGACACACTAAAGATTGATATTAAAAATGCATTTATTCATTAATCAATTAAAAACTTATGTAAAAAACATTCATATATAACAAATAATATGTCTATTGATAATCCCAAATCAAGCCATAAAAAAGTCCAGACCTTATTTGAAATACTCTGCGTCCCGAGTCAGCAAAATGTAGTGCTGAAAAACCTCAAACAAAAGTCCTCTTTGTAGCAGAGATGATGGCTGATAGCAATGGGAGTCAGACCTCTCCAGACGCGTTTCTCCCCTTCAGCGGCTTTTTCAATGGATGGGGTCTGTCTCTTGTTTATAAAGCGTCTGCCGACTTTTAATCTATAATGTATGTTACAGAACCCAACTCTTATCTATGTAGCTAAACACCCATATTTTGTATAACTTAAAAACACATATAATTTAATTATAATTTCGGTCGGTACAATGTATCATTTACTGCCGTTACTATAGTAACACCCGCTTAAGCGGATTTGAATGTAACTGACATTCTAATCTAATTGGACAGATAAAGAATGTAGAGATTAATACATGGGAACTATCAATTTTATGCCATGGCTCATTTACAAATAAACAATTACCATATTATGGCTAAAACCAGTAGTATATAGTGTCAGTCTAAGAGTACTACTCTTAATGTATATACTGCTATTCCTTTATATTGGTGCATTTATCATCTTTAATTTATTTCATCTATCCAAAATGAATAGAGTTATATGATGCACTACACTATTAATATATCTTAAAGGGACCCTCCCTATATTACTTAAAGTGCAATGCAACTAAAAAGTTGTAATCCTAATAAAATAAAAAAAAGGTATAATAACTTTTTAAAAGGCCAGACACAAAAAAAGTTTAAAAAAAAAGGATAAAAGTCTTAAAAATATATTTCCACAATAGTACAAGGAATAAAAATCATCCCAAAAAGTGACAAAGTTCAAAGTCAGCATTTAATCCGTTAGGCTGCAGCATATCCAATTTATATATCCATTGCATTTCGGTAATGCCCAGTTGTTTATTATGGTCTCCTCCTCTCCAATTCTTGTTTACTTTACATATCCCTTTAAAATCCAAAAGATTCATATCTGAGTTGTGTTGTTGTTTAAAATGGGCTGAAACAGAGTGCTGCATATACCCTTTCCTTATATTCAGCATATGTTCTCTGACTCTCACATATACCGTGTTTCCCCGAAAATACAACCTACCCCGAAAATAATCCCTAGCTGGAATATCTTGGTGGGCTGCAATATAAGCCCTACCCCGAAAATAAGACCTAGGCAGGGCCGGTGGCTGCCGGCCCTTTAAATGCCACAGCCGACTGAGCGATAGAGAGCGCTCAGACGGCTGCCGCACTGCCTCACCTCCCCTTCCCTGTAGCGTGGCCGAGCTCCTCTCCGGTCTGCGACCCGGCCGTACTGACAGGAAGTGCACTCTGGGTGTGCACTTCCTGTCAGTCCGGCCGGGTCCGGAGTGAGAGGAAGAGGTGAGGTATTACAGGGAGGGATAATACAGTGAGGGAGGGGAGAAGGGGGGGATAATATTACAGGGAGGGAGGGGGTGATAATATTTACAGGGGGGAGGGATTACAGGAGAGGGATTACAGGGAGGGAGGGGGGAGGGGGAGTATTACAGGGAGGGAGGGGGGATAATATTACAGGGAGGGAGGGGAGAGTATTACAGGGAGGGAGGGAGGGGAGAATATTACAGGGAGGGGGAGGTGAGGGTCTCTGGGGGGGTTACACAGCGCGGACACCGGCTGACAGACTGGCTCTAAGCCCTACCCTGAAAATAAGCCCTAGTGTGTTTTTTGTGACTAAAATTAATATAAGACCCGGTCTTATTTTCGGAGAAACACAGTAATTGCCTCTTGGTTCTTCCTACGTACTGGAGCCCACATGGGCACTCCAGTACATAGATAACGTTAGTGCTATGACAAGTAATATGTTCTTTTATTTTAAAAGATTCCGTATCCTTCTCACAATTCTGTTTCATAACTTCAAATACTCCTTTTATTTGTTTGTTCTTACTTGTGTTGCATGTGATACAATCTAAACAGTAGAAGAAGCCATTATTTTTTATTTTAGTTGTATCATTCTTTCCTCTTAAGATAATTCTAGGTCTTTCCGGTAAGCTACTAGCAAGAATTTTATATTTTTTTCAATAAATGCCAATGCTTTGTGAGTATTCTTTTTAATTGTACATTTTCCTTGTTGTAATTTAGGATAATCGCTGGGAACTCTTCTCCTGAACTTATTGCTTGTGATTTATCCTTATTCTTTAAGAGAATCATACGATGTAAATTCTCAGCTCTACGTAGTGCATCTTCTATTTCGTTAGATTGGTAGTTTTTTGACAAGAACTTATTCTTCACTATTTCTGCCTGTTCCCTATAGACTTCAAAGTCTGTATAGTTGCGTCTCAGGTGCCTAAATTCGTTATAAGGCATGTTTTTAAGCCATGCAAGTAGGTAACAACTCTCTTTAAGAATGAAGCTGTTCACATCTACTTCTTTAAAGTGTGTTTTCGTTTTAACTGTGCCAGAATCTATATAAATCATTAAATCGAGGAATTCCACCTGTGTTTTGCTCCAAGTAGACAAGGCTACGTTTAGAGGGATCAAGAAGAACTGTCTAAACCTTTATTTTACTTGGGACTAGCCCATATGGTCATTACATTAACAATGCTGTGAAAACTTAATAAAATTAGGCTCCATTTTGAGGGTCAAGCAGGAACAGACAGAGCTGTGGGTTTATTGTTCTTATATACACATTCTTACACATTAGTACCACCCACAGGGTTTTGGAAAACAACCAATAAACACGTACAATACACTCAGACACTCACAGACAAAATCCTCCCCTCTGCCTGTGATACAATTACCTTACACAATGGGTTAATTAACACAGGCAGATAAATACAGTTTTTACACCATATTCATAATTTTAAAAGTATACATCACATTCACATAAAACTTTCAGAATCAGCATACTCCAAATACAAACATATGTCAAAATCATCCAAATTGGTCCATTGGTTCAAAAGATAGATCCTTTGTGACCAAATGAAGCATGGCTTTTCTGCCCAAAACCAGTTCCACAGAGTAATCCAATTATCTTCAAGGACAGAGGCAAAACTCCATTGCACATGGCAAAAAAAAGACAGTAAAATACAATAAAATACACAAGGTTACATTTATTACATAAAATACAGACATGCAACATATTCCCAGATAGCTTAGGTCTGAGCGCACGTTATTACTGAATAGCGCTCCGACCATACACATACAGTTCAATTGCCATGGAGCCAAAGTCTTTTATTACACGAATAGGCTCCATGGCATAGCTATCTGGGTTAAATGAGTTCACTCAGTAAATCCGAGAATCTACCAAACGCCAGGGCAGAAATACATGAATAGACCATTCTGCATAGGAAAATAAAGTATTTAAATGCCGGTCCTTTGTCAAAAGGCAGCAGGCAGGCAACCAGGCTCCTCCAATTCACAGTGGCGAGATTGGTCTCGTCACATCCTTATGTTTCTTTCTTATGGCAAGAGTAATGGATGCTGGCTTTTCATCAGAATGGTTACAGCTGAAGAATGGAACTAAGCAGGGATTCCCCTATACTACATTTAATGGTAATTGAATCTTTGGCTATGGCAATTAGGGCAGATAATCAAATCAAAGGTTTTCCGGTTTTACAGAAAGTTTCAAAATCACTATCTATACTGATTATG